AACCTGTGAGCAGTCACCGGAGAGTAGGTCTGGGATCCAGTGACAATCAGAGACGAATGCACCAAGCTGTATTTTCCCCACTTAGCAATAGTCTGAATGCAACAGCCTCAGAGAACAGGGGCAGCTACCAAAGGCCAGGGCTCACATGGCAGGTCAGAGCTGAGCCTTGTGCCCTGATGGGTTCCTCTGTTGCCAATGTAGTGCCTAGGAAATTGGCTGCATTGGTGGGGGAGTAACAGGGACCCTAGCTGTGTTATGGGGAAAAGGAGCCAGGGAGAAAAGTCAGCAGAGCCCCTTTAAGACCCAAACTCCCTTTAGCCTGAAAAGGGGGAAGATTGCCTGCTGTAAGGGAAGACCCTGCCAGCACAGCCAGGATGGAGGAGAGCTTGGCTCTAAAGAGAGGCACCCAGCTGGACAAGAGGGGGTAGGTGGCATGCTGTATTGGGGATCAGGGACCCCCAGAAGGGAGATGCCAGGCCCTGGGCTATGGACTCACTCTTGCAAAGCCCAGTCTCCAACCAACCAGCTGCAGATCGGTTGTCTTAATCGGGCGCTGGTCAGACCGCAGTTGGAGTACTGCGTGCAATTCTGGGCACCGCGCTTCAAGAGGGATGTGGATAACCTGGAGAGGGTCCAGAGAAGGGCCACTCATATGGTTAAGGGCTTGCAGGCCAAGCCTTATGAGGAGAGACTGGGGCACCTGGACCTCTTCAGCCTCCGCAAGAGAAGGTTAAGAGGCGACCTTGTGGCTGCCTATAAGTTCATCACGGGGGCACAGAAGGGAATTGGTGAGGTTTTATTCACCAAGGCGCCCCCGGGGGTTACAAGAAATAATGGCCACAAGCTAGCAGAGAGCAGATTTAGATTGGACATTAGGAAGAACTTCTTCACAGTTCGAGTGGCCAAGGGCTGGAACGGGCTCCCAAGGGAGGTGGTGCTCTCCCCTACCCTGGGGGTCTTCAAGAGGAGGTTGGACATGCATCTAGCTGGGGTCATCTAGACCCAGCGCTCTTTCTTGCCTATGCAGGGGGTCAGACTCGATGATCTATTGAGGTCCCTTCCGACCCTAACATCTATGAATCTATGAAGCTATCCTTGGGAAGGCATTTGAAAAAATTATTAAGGAACACATTTGTGGGAATCCAGTGAGAAAAATAATGCTGAAGGGCAACCAGCATGAATTCATAGCAGGTAGATTTTTCCTGACTAACCTTGTTTCTTTTTATGATCAGGTCACCAAATGCTTAGACGAAGGAATTGAAGTAGAAGTCATTTACTTAGATTTCAAAAAGGCCTTCGATACGGTGTCTTATCCCATTCTTATAAATAAACTCAGCGGCCATGTCGTCGATGATTACATGGTCAGTTGGGTAGCAGATTGGCTTATGGGACATACCCAGAGAGTGCTGGTGGATGGGTCAGTATTGACCTGGAAAGATGTGGGCAGTGGAGTCCCCCAAGGTTTGGTCCTTTTACCAGTGCTGTTCAATATCTTCATCAGTGACTTGGATGAGGGTGTGAAGAGCACTCTGTTCAAATTTGCAGACAACACTAAATTATGGGACAAAGTAAACACACTGGGGGCAGGAAACAGATTCAGGAGGACTTGAATAGATTGGAAAAGTGGGCAGAAAAGAATAGGATGCAGTTTAACAAAGATCGGTGCAAAGTGCTGCACCTAGGGAGAAAGAATCAACAACACACCTGTAGACTGGGGAATAACTTTCTAAGCAGCACAGCAGCAGAAAGGGATCTTGGAGTCATAATTGACTCCAAAATGAACATGAGTCATCAATGTGATGAAGCGATAGGTAAAGCTAACCGCACTCTGTCATGCATTAGCAAGTGCATCACGAGCAGGTCTAAGGAAGTGATACTTCCCCTCTATGCAGCATTGGTAAGGCTGAAGCTAGAGTAGTGTGTCCAGTTTTGGGTGCCTCACTTCAAAAGGGATGTAGATAACCTTGAGAGGGTCCAGAGGAGGGCCACTCGTATGGTTAAGGGCCTGCAGGTAAGGTCCTACGAGGAGAGATTGATGGACCCGGAGCTCTTCAGGCTTCCAAGGGAGGTGGTGCTCTCCCCTACCTTGGAGGTCTTTAAGAGGAGACTAGACAAGCACCTGGCTGGGGTCATCTGACCCCAGCGCTCTTTCCTACCCAGGACGGGGGGGGTCAAACTGAGGTCCCTTCTGACCATAAAAAAACTATTAAATCTATAATCTTTGTCACACATCTCCCTTGAATGTGCCCTTGCCCAAGGGGTGGGAGGGAGACAGGACCACAGGGAGTTCAGCACCAAGCTCAAGGGAGAAGTGTTGTTTTTGAGGCATCAGTTGCCCCCTGGTGGCCACAGAAATCATAGAAAATGAGGCTGGAAGAGACCTCAGGAGGTCAAGCCCCTACTCAGAACAGGACCAGCCCCAACTAGATCATCCCAGCCAAGGCTTTGTCCACCCGAGTAATAAAAAAGCTCCTAGGATGGGAAGTCCTAGGACTTCTCTCTGGGTGCCTGTCCCAGTGCTTTACTGGCCTCTTAGTGAGAAAGTTCTTCTTAATATCTAACCTCAACTTCCCCTGCTGTTAGTTGAGATCATAACTCCTTGTTTCGACATCTGCTGCCACTGAGAACAGTCCAGCTGCATCCTATTGAAAAGACCCTTCATGGAATTGAAGGCTGCTATTAAATCCCCATTCAGTTTTCCCTTCTGGATACTAAGTAAGCCCAGTTTCCTCAGTCTCTCCCTGTAAGTCATGTGCCCCTGCCCCCAAACCATTTTCATTGCTCTCCACTGCACACTCTCCAGTTTGTCCATGTCCTTTCTGTAGTGGGGGCTCAAAACTGGACACACGACTCCAGATCTGGCATCACCAGTGCCAAAAAGAGGGGAAGAATCACTTCCCTCAATCTGCTGGCAACGCTTCTACTAATGCAGCCCAGTATGCTGTTGGCCTTCTCGGCAACAAGGGTACACGGTTGGCTCCTATTCAACTTATTGTCCACTAAGCTTGCCAACTCTGACTAAAGCTATTCTAGGAGATCTTATATTTCCAACATGACATAATGTCATTAATTGTACTATTCTACCCATTCACAATATCATTCTCTTGGATTCCTTTCAGTAGTCAATGGGAGATTGATGCCAATTCCGGTAGACTCCTGGCCGGTCTGGGAGGGTTGACAACCCTATCATCCACTGTAATCCCCAGGCCCTTTTCTGCAGAGCTGCTGCTTAGCCAGTCAGCCCCCAGCCTGTACTGGTGCATGGGACTGTTCCCTCCTTAGTGCAGGACTTTGCACTTATCCTTGTTGAACCTCGTGAATAGGGTTATTTGGTTTCTTTTGGTTCTATCCTCCAATTTGTTGAGGCTTCCCTGAAGTCTAGCCCTGCCCTCCAGTGGACTTTCTACTCCCCCAACTACCCCCACTCCAGGTTGGTGGCAGGAGGTAGCGAAGGCCCCATGTAAGGATCCCCACCGCCTGCAATTGCCTGCCTGGCTGCAGGACCTGGGCTGAGTTGTGTCATGCAAATGCCTGCCCAGGAGGGAGGTGGGCAAGTACCATGACTGTAAGAGCGCATGGGCCAGGTCAGCTGCTGGTGCCAACCCCTGTGAGCTCCTCCTGAGCTGGGAAGGACTGAGAAGGTGTAACAACCCCCAGCAGGTGGCAGCAGGAAGTCAGACTCAGGTTTTCTATGCAGCTGGTGCCTTGGACCCCATCGCTGAGTGTCCAGAGTGTACACAACACAGTAATAGACACCTGCATCGTGCAGCCTGGCACCGTCCTGGGAGAGACTGTCGGAGCGGGAGGCCTTGTCCGCAGCAAAGATGAGTTCCCCTGCAAGTGAGACCTTGTTGTGCCCCCTCCCCAGAAAAGTCTGGGGCCCCCAGCACTCCAGGGGCTGCCAATACCACAATGTTGTATAGTGGTTTGTGGCATTCTGGTTGCAGATGATGTGGAGCCATCCTCCCTCCAGTGCCCTGAGCTGGGTCAGCTGGAAGACCTGGGCCCAGGCCCATCTTAAGCTTCCCTTCCCACAACTTGAGACCATTCCTCCTTGCTTGCTCATCTGCCACTGCTAAGAATTCTCTAGTGACTAGCTCCAGCCACTTTTGAACCTCTCATCAGGGAGATGAAGGCTCCTGTTCAATCCCGCCTCTCCCTCCCAAACCCACCACCCTCCGCCCCAGTCTGTTTTTCTGTAGGCTGAATAAGCCCACTTCCCTCAGTCTCTCCTGGGAAGCCACATACCCTTCCCTCTAAACATTTCTATTCCCCTCACCTAGAATCTCTAAAACTTCTCCAAGTTCAAGCAATCCCATGTCCCTGGGGCAGAGGAGACCTTACAAGGCTAATGCGCTGCCAGAGATGCCTGAGCACCTGAGCATCCATAATTAATACTTCCTCCCAGCCTGTAGGGATGTGGGAGTGAGGAGGCTGAGGGCTGGGTTCACAAAGGCATTGGGGGCCATGTGGGAGGGCGGTAGCACCGGTGACCCAGGTGGAGTGGGGGCAGTGAGGTGATCCTCGGGAACAAATCCAGGTTGGGTGTCCCCACTCCAGAGCAGCACCCTGCTTCCCTTGAGCTTGTTTCAGGGGTACCCCACAAGGGCAGCACTGTTATCTGCACAACCATGACCCACAAGTCAAACTCAGAGATTTCCAATAGCAAGTCATGGTGTGAAAAACATCCCGCCCCGCTGTGCTCCCTCCATACCTCACCACAGGAGAACTGCTCTTGTCCTTTTCTGGAGTGAAAATAACAAGTAGAAGCTCAGACCCGGCCATTTCTGAGGGGCCCTGCAGCCTAGCGTATTGGAGAAACACTTCTCTAGAGGGAGCGGTCTGAGCCTGCGCACCCACTCCTCTTGCAAGCGGCTGAGACCCCTGAGCCAGCTGCTGGGCACAGGTGGGTGTCAGGTGGAGCTGGGGCTGGAGGAGCCCCTTCTGCAGGACCCACGGTGCCCCTGGAGGGGGTGAGGAGTGGGCATGTGGGAGGGGAGTCAGGGCAGCAGCCAACTGCATGTGCCCTGGGTGCACGTGGCAGGAAGTTGGGCCGGGGGTTTTGATGCAGCTGGTGCCTCCACCCCTGTCACTGTGTCCTCTGTGGCGCAGTAGTAGATGCCAGCATCCTGCAGCCTGGCACCGTCCCGGGAGAGGGTGCTGGAGCGGGAGGCCAGGTACACTTCCATGGTGAGTTCCCCTGCGGGCGAGGTCCCATCGTACCCGCTCCCCAGGAAGATCGGGGCCCCCTGACCCTGCGGGGGCTGCCGGTACCAGTACATCCTCTGATGTGGGGTGATGTTGTGGTTGCAGGAGATGTGGAGCCGTCCTCCTTCCAGCGCCGTGAGCCGGGGTGGCTGGGACACCTGGGCCAGGGCCCATCTCGCTGCCCCTGGGGGAGGAAAGGCAGAGAGTGAGGCAGGGAAAACCGCCCCCCTGGAGCAGAGCAGCGCAGGTGGGGAATGCTACTCACCGCAGAGGAGGAGGAGGCTGCAGAGACCCTGCATGGCAGGGCCAGGGCTTGGCTCCCACTCCGCAGTCTGTCTGGTGGAGCCAATCTGTGTGTCCACCTCCTCAGCCGTCCAAGAGGCACTGGGCTTCCTGCCCTCTCGCTGTCCCTGTAGTGAGCTCCTTCTCTGTCTGTCTGTCTATCACCTGCCAGTCGGCTCCTGTTCCCCCAGTGTTCAGACCTCCCGTGTCCCTCCACGAGCCCCTGCACCCTTCGGGGAGGGGTCTGGGCTCTGAGGCAGCCCTGGGCTGCAGGTGCCTGGGGTGGAGGCAGGGTGTGGGGAGGGTCCTCTTCCTCCTCAACACCGGAGCTGCAGACAGGATGAGCAGGGTCCAGTGGACGCTATGAGATGCCACAAAACTTGGGAAACTTACAGAGGGGCCTTGAGGCTGTGAAGGGAGCCAAACACTGCTTCAAGGCCCCCAGCCCTTCTTCACAACCTTGTCCAGCTCCAGGCTGTCTCTCACCACAAAGCAATCCCAAGGGGCTTTCTGAGCAGCCCAAGGCAGCCAGCAAAAAGGGGGATTGCTCACCCATGCCAGCTGGGGCATGACAACATGCAGCTGCCTATCCCTCCATCTGTCTGTCTGTCTCCATTTCCCTCTTCCTCTCCTGCTGTGCAGTGCAGAGGAAGGAGGGGCATGTGCCCACCACAGAGCCGCCCACACCTTTCTGCACGGTGCAGCAGCAGCCAGAGCCCTCTGTGTCACTCAGCGCGCAGAGATACCCAGCACTGTCCTGCAGCGTGGTGCCCTGGATCGCCAGCCGCCCCGAGGAGTTCCCAAAGTGCAGCTCCGCGGAGAGCCGCCCTGCTTGCTTCCTCCACTCAGCTTTGTAGAGCTGCATCAGCATCTCCAGGGACCGGTTTGGATGCTGCCGGTACCAGTAGAGGTATGGGTAGGTATCGCTGGTGGAGAAACTGCAGGACAAGGTGGCAGTGTCCCCTGCGTGGATCACCAACGCCGAGGGGGACTGGGTGACAGAGTCCTGCTGAGCACGGGCTGGAAAGGCAGAGATCCCATGTAAGACTGCTCTCCTGTCTGTCTGTCCCTGAG